CATCTTCTGGGTCTTTCCAAGCTCTGGGGTCATGGCCTTAAACACCGCACTCAGCAGGGCAGTCGTTCTGTAGATGACACCTTTATCTGTGCCATAATTTCATGCTTGGACCTTCTCAAAGAGTCCTTGCCTATCACCACTTTGCAAAGTTGCCTCAACATTCCATTCCAAGCAGTGCGAGAAGGCAGCTACTCTAAATAGTGGCTAAATGTTAAGGTTGGTGCTAATTGCTGTTTATTTACTTCTCTCCTTAGAGACCTTCAAGCGAACTACTTTGAACCCTGGAGCGATCTTTTATGATTTGATAACACAGTCCCCAAGAGTGATGAGTAGCCAGGGAAAGAGACGGCTCGCGATCTTCTCCTGCACGCCTGCCGGCAGACAGCCGGGGCGAGCTTCTGTGTGTGTCTGTTGGAAGCACTGATAGCAGGAACAGATACGTTCTTGAGACCGACCCTACATACTGATGCCTGTCGCGTTTTGCTTGTTTTAAGGGAAACGCTCTTATTCCCACTCCACATTTGTATACAATTGCTATAAGAAGCCCCTCGCTTTCCCCAAGTCGCAGGAAATGTCCTTGTGAGGAATGGGCAGATGTAATATCTGTGCATCTTGCAAATATAGAGCACCTGAATGCAGGCAGGTAGCGCAAGTCTTTGTACAGCTTTGTCAGTTCCTCCACAAGCAAGCAGTGTACACCTGGATGGACATATGTGTGAAGCCAGTAACATTTTCGCCAATTATGGGGTGACTGCAGGGAGAAAAGTGAGGCCACAATAAGGGGTGCTTGGTGGCAAAGGCCCATCAGTAGGACCATGCTGAGGGCACTCTGAAGTACGGCACTAGCCCTCCTCTTCCCCACTTTCACTAATAAAATAAAATAAAACAAAACAAAATCATACTTTGTCTATAAGAGTTTCCCTCAAATTTTATCTTCCCTTTGATCATTTCCCCAGCAATCTCTTCTTTCTATCTTTTTTCTTTCTTTTATTTTATTTCGCAAAATTTATATCCTGCTTGATTGTAAAAATAAACAAATCTTCAAGGCGGTTTATGAGGGAATAATGGATGAAGAATGGTTTTTTAAAAGTGTGGATGAAGTTTTCAGCACAAGGCTAGTGAGTTCCATAAATTAATTGCGTGTTTGTGTGGAGAAATACTTTCTTTCATCTACTGCCAATCAACATTATTGAGTAGCCAAGCTTCTCTCTCTCTCTCTCTCTCACACACACACACACACACAGAGAGAGAGAGAGAGAGAGAGAGAGAGACCCTGTTGTCTGAAACAACATTATCTTAAGCAAGACTGAGCTTAATCTGTCTGGAGCATCTTCTCTCCAAATCGTTTTTTCAAATGGTGATTTTTCACAAGAGTGCAACTGCTGAGCTGTTTTCCCCATTGATTTCAGTGGAACTGACACAAGTGGTGCTGGCAGAGAATGGTGCCCTTTTAAAAATTAAAAGCGAAAGGGGCTGTCTTTCCAATTGCTAAGCAGCTTCTGTTAATCCCACATTTTGCATGGCAAACATCACTAAAGCCTAAAGGATTCCAATAGCTCCGATAAGTAACAAAGAAAGATACACCAGAGCCATTTAGAAGTTAGCATTTTGGCCTTATCTGAGTTTCCTGGCTGATAAGGTTTGAAGTTACAGTAGACTTTTGCCATCATTGCTAAATAAAAGGATTTACTATCTCCCTGTTAGGATTGCCTCCCCAGCTTCAATGCAGGCTATCAGGCATATAGACCCGTTCATATGTTTGATAGGTTTCCTGTTACTTTGAAGAGAAAACGGTCCTTGAATATCTCTCAGCGTATTATATGAGCACCCTAATCCAATGTTGGAGGCATTTCTGTTTCTCTGTTACATTCCTGGAATACCCCCATTATGTACAGAGATTTGCTTTGATTCAATCATGGAGTCTCAGGCTGCCATTCACTGACACTTACCTGGGAGTAGGCTGCATTGAATTCAATGGAATTGAATTTCTGAGCAGAGGTTTAGCAGGATTTGTGTTCTTGATAACTAGTAGCCACTGTGCGTCAGGCCTACACACAACAAATGAAAAATGTTATAGGGTTGTATCCAACCAAGTTGTCCCCCTACCACAAGGACTTCCATCTAGGTAGCGGAACCTACTCTCCTCTATCTTCACGCCCCCCACACTCTAGCCAAAGAGCTGGGGGGAACCCCAGAACAGATTTGGGGGCAGGAGACATGCAGGGAGAAGAGAGAAAATCCCATTGGGCAGGTATGAGTCTTTGTGCGAATGGATTCCCTTGGTTACTTATAACCCGTAATGCCTCAGTGTCTTAGTCCATGTGCTCAGAGAAATCTGGTAATGAGAAGTTTAGTAATGTCAGAGCAAGTGTCCCTGAAAGACCGCTTCCCCAACTTTGGCAGGTGTGTTGTGTGAAACCCTCCGTCCGTCAATCAAGTGATGTCACAAATAAATTCACAAATGAAGACTGCACCTTGCAGGCAGCAACATGCTGCTAAAATGAAGGTGAAAACCTTTCTTTTAGCAGCGCATTCCTGCTTGTAAGCTCCTTTGAAGTCCCGCCTTTGGGACTTCAAAGCACCAAATCACCTGAGGTCATCTGTAATATCACTTGAATAGTTGGTGGACAGTTTTGCTCCACCTGTTAGAGTGGGCCAGAAAGGCAGGTCCTGGTATAAGGGGAAAGTGTGTTGAAACAATGTCTTTATTAGGTAACAAGTGTATACATTAGGAGAAATTTGCACTAAAATGAGGACGTGTGTGTGTGTGTTTACAAAAATTACAAATTGATTTGAGAACATGGAGAACTGAAATGGAAGAGTGGAAAAATGAGAAACAAAAATTGTCAGATTCACCCATCCCTAGCTTCTGCACTGATCTCGGGGGGGGGGGGGGGATTATATCATTGCTAGTTGCATCTGAATGGATATGTGACTTCTTTGCAAGCCTGGCTGTCAAACCGATCCTTGGAGTCCTTCCTAGGCCACCCGCTGAGCTTCTGTCACAGAGCAGCCTGTCGTCAGATGGCAGAGAAGAAGCCCTTTAGATTTCTTTTATGTTGCACCAATATAATTAATTGCCCAACCATTTTAGGTGAATCAAAGCTATCATTTCGCAGATATAACTACCTCAAACTGTTACTAAAGGTTACATTTCCACTAGCCAACTCGTTCTTAAACTGCACCGTAGCACCATCTGCTAACATTAATACGTGGAATTTAAATCTGTGTTTCTGTGCCAAGAGCTCTTCCTCCCCCACACCCGAAATTGGATACCTTAATGAATCTGTGTCTGTAAAGGTGTCTGTAAAAATAATAATAATACTCGTTAGAATTTATGTAGCACATTCCAAGCATTCAAAGCTCTTCCATGTACGTGATGTCTAGAGCTGCCACATCGTTTTGCTAAATGTGGGATGCAAATTTGGAGGTTCCAGTTTGGACAAAATGTCTGTCGGCAGGGGCTGATGGTTGAACTGGGAACCTCTGGACCAGTTCCATACGCTCCCTATGAGGCAAATTACAGAACTGCAGTTCAGAGCATCTGGCTAAGCCAAGAGTGTGGAACCTCCAGTCTATGAGAAGTCCGGCCACCAGGCCTTGTAGTCCAGTCCATTGGACTTCCCTCAAGCCACAACTCCTGTCTCCAATCTGTGTTCCCCATTGGCTCGACTCTTCACAGCAAAAGAAGGGAAGAACAAAGTAGCTTCATTAGCCCCAAGCTTCCCTGATGCCAAATTCATCCAACCCAGGGTAGAGATGATCCTTAAGATATCTCAGTCCCAGGAATCAGAAGCTACTGACCACTGCCCAAAGTGGTGAACCCGATAACTTCAGCCATTCCTTAGCAAACCTTTTGTCAGTAACTGATGACTGCTGCCCCATGTGGTGAAATGCATAACTGCATCTCCTCAGGGGAAACCCCTCCAGGTATAGAGTAGCTCCATCAATCTAAGCCAGAGTTTCCCAAATGTGGGTCTCTAGCTGTTTTTGGACCACAATTCCTATCATCCTGTTAGCTAGGGATGGTGGGATTTGTAGTCTTAAAAACAGCTGGAGATTCAACTTTGAGAACCCCTGGTCTAGGCTAATCATTGTATGACATAATGGTTCAAGTGTTGGAGACCAGGGTTTGAATCCCCACTCAGCCACAAAGCTCTGGCCTGTCACCATCTCTTAGCCTAACCTAAGGCACAGGTTGCTGTGAGGATGAAGATGGGGAGGAGGAGAAGAACCAGTCACACGCTTGACACCCTTGGAAGAAAAAAGTGGTATATAAATGCAATAAACAAGCAAACAAATTAATTAATTAAATCCTGGCCCGGGTGGAGAAAACGAGAGCTTCCTGTTTCAGTGGTGCTTTGCTTGACTAACAGGGTCTACCTTGGGGGGTCGGGGGGTCCTGTGTTTGCAATTTGGTACTGACTCCTGGTTACACTTTGACTCACTCCGGACTGCTGCCCATGGTCTAGCACTGACCCCCCGGACCATTTACCATGCCGAGGACCAGCACTTTGAACTTGGACTGGGAACAAGTTGATGACATCATCATCATCATCATCATTTATTATTTGTATACCCCGCCCATCTGGCTGGGTTTCCCCAGCCACTCTGGGCGGCTTCCAACAAAGATTAAAAATACATCAAAATGTCACACATAAAAAACTTCCCTGACCAGGGCTGCCTTCAGATGTTTTCTAAATGTCAGGTAGTTGTTTTTCTCTTTGACATCTAGTGGGAGGGCGTTCCACAGGGTGGGTGCCACTACTGAGAAGGCCCTCTGCCTGGTTCCCTGTAGCTTTGCTTCTCGCAGTGAAGGAACTGCCAGAAGGCCCTCAGCGCTGGACCTCAGAGTCCAGGCAGAATGATGGGGGTGGAGACGCTCCTTCAGGTATACTGGAATAAGCCTACGTAGCTGCTTAATACTGACTCAGATCACGGTTCCATCTTAGCTCAGTATTGCCTACACTGCCTGCCTGCAGTTCACCAAGGCTTCAGAGTGAACAGTGCCAGGGACTGAACCTGGGACCTTCTTCATGCAAACCAGATGCCCTACCACTAAGCTCCATACATTATACTCCACCCAATGGAAGTTTCTGGACACTCTTTAAAAGCAGCTGCAAGTTGAGTGCACTACAGTAGTCCTGTCTGGATTCTCCTAAGGCACAGATGGCCAGGGACAAACTTGTCTTCACCATCCTTCATCCCACTGCAGGCAGACATGGAATCAGCCAGCCAGGATATTACACATCCTTTCTTTTGTCCAGGTCATGTACAAAGCTGGCGGATCAGTGTGTGTTTGTGATGCATTCTTCCCTCAGAGTTGAGCTGTTGCGTCTTGGCATCATTCAGCTCCCCACCTCATTCCCACCCCACCCCCACCCTCTTCTGGGCTGTTTTGTGGAGAACCCAAACTCCAGCGTTTAAAATCTATTACAGCTGCTCACTGTCAAACCCGCACGCAAGACTTCAGCGACAATCCCCAGTATACAACTGCAATTGCAAATCTGTACAATCCAACCCTGGCTTCTGCCAGAATGAGTTCTCTCTCTCTCTCTTCCCCTTTTGGTCTTCCTGCTTAATGCACAGAGCACTCACGTACTGAATGTGGCTGATGTTTATCGTCCTGTAAATCGTACACAAGCATTTGGCAGCATTTGGCAAAAGGAAGGCAACAAGTTGAGGGCCCAGGAGCAAATCATGTGTGTAATTAAAAGCTGGGCTTTTGCTTTGTTTTTTAATGACACATGGTCATACTTCTTACTCTATGGATCAAAATGTGTATTGTGTTCTGAGTTGTCTGGGATCAAGTCATGTGCCTGAAGTGAACTTCCTACACTTAAGTGTTTTATTCAATAGGTGGCAGATCCATGGTTCGCATCCGTCTGCCTTGGGAGACCATGAAGGAATGGGGGGTGAAGTCAAACTGTTAGAAGGTTGCGGTGCCTGCTGTGGCTGTAGAGACCAATGCAGGAGAGACATGTTTTGTTGCAGCTGGGGCAGATGAAGGCATCCTGTTGTGCTGCTGCAGATGCACCATGGCTTTTCTTCTCTCCGCACTCCTCCCAATGGTCATTCCTCCTCTGTTCACTGCTATGGATTCACGACCTGTCTGCCTCCAAACACTTCAAGAAAATATCTGCTTTCCCAAACCCACATTCCCAGCATGCTTGCACTCCTGTCTCAGCGACGTCTAGACTGGTTTGGTCATGTCCACAGAATGGAAGAGGGCAGGATCCCCAAGGACATGATCAATGGGGAGCTGTCAGGATGGATCTGTGGGATTGCTGGCTCCCCTCTGTTGTCTCTGTTGAAGCCTCCAAACTGGAAACTTCATCACCCTGTCCTGTGCCTGCTTCTGCCTCTTTGTGATCCCTCAAGCTTCCTGCTTCTAGTACCTTCCAGCTTGTCCCCTCCTCTGAGGTGTGGCCAGTGTCCCACCACCACCAGGCTCTAGGATCTAATTCTTCTTCTTCTGTGCCTTCCCTATGAAGCTCTTAGGAGGCCAGCTTGTACCACTCTTCCTCAGCCAGGCAGTCCCTGACATCGGGTATGTTTAGCTTGAAGAAGAGAAGACTGAGAAGAGATATGATAGTCATCTTCAAATAGCTAAAGGACCGTCACATGGAAGATGGAGCAAGCTTGTTTTCTGCTGTGCCAGAGATAGGACCCGAACCAATGGATTCAAAGAAAGGAAACCCTGACCAAACATTAGGAAAAGTGGACAACCTTGGAATGTGGTAGATTCTCCTTCATGGGAGTTTTTGAAACAGAGGTTGGGCAACCATCTGTCAGGGATTCTTCAGTTGTGATTCCTGCATTGAAGGTGGTTCCACTACAAGACCCTTGGGGTCCCTTCCAACTCATATGAGTTGGACTTATATGATTCTATGCAATTTTGGGAGGAAGGGCAGAGCTAAGAACCTGTCTTCCCATCATCCCTGACCACTGACCAGACTAATGGGGATGATAGGTATGGGAGGCGATCAACAGCTGGATGGCCATAGGTCTCCCAACTTCGACATATGGTGACATCCTGTTTGTCACTTGCAGAATTTGCCCTGAAGGACAAAGCAGAGCCATTTGGAAAGAGAGCGGCTCCTTGCGCAATTCTTTGTTCTGGAACCACAACAAATTCCATTGGTTTTTGTTGTTGTTTTTGTTCTTGTTTTTTGGCGTTACACATGTTCCATTAACACCATCTGAATCAAGAAAATCCTTCCCATGACGCTTTCAGGCACACCCTGTTTTGGTCCTCTCCTCTGTCTCCGCCTCTTTGTGAGAACACGAGGGCTGAAATCCAGGAGAAATGTGTCGGTCCCAGTAAGAGGATAGGAAGAATACTTGTCTTCTTATCTAACCCATCGTTCTGTGGGTTAGCAACTGACACAGCTGAATCTGTTAAGTGCTCACTTGTGGTTTCTTCAGCCTGACCACAATGTAACTGAAATCAAATATTTTACAGACGCTTCACCCTGAGTGACCAGACTCCATTTCTTTCAAGCGTACCACATCAACACCCTCGGCATGACACAAAGCTTCCTGTTTACTGCAAAGCTTTAGCCTTTTGCCATTGTTCAGACTATTAGCATTGTGTCGAAGTCGGAGGGCAGAGTCCCAACTGTTCTATTACATATCACTTCCTCAGCGGAACAGCTTTATGAAGCAAAGGTACAGCGCAAGAGGATCTAGGCTGGATCTGAATATCCTGTTTTGCTCTGCGTATCGGCTCTGAAAAAGAAGTCACATAGCTGAGAAAGAAAAAACTTCCTTCAGGTGTCATGCCTCATCAGGGAATGCCAGCATGAGGAGGGGGCATGGGGGCACATGTTCCAGCCCCACCTCAGATGCCTCCATGTGCTCCATTTATTTTATTTATTTATTGGGTTTATATACCTCCCTATACCTGGAGGTCTCAGGGCGGTTCACAGAAAATATTGCAATATATAAATCAAAAGAAGAACAATTACCCAATAACAATCCCCCCTCCAAAAAGAGCCACATTTTAAAAAGGTAAACGATGTAGGACAGGAGTCAGCAAACTTACCGTGTCTTGGGCCAGTGTCTTCAGTGCTGATCGCGCAGCAGGCCGGATGGTGGGGGAGCACATGCCCATACGAGTGCGCACATGCTATTTCTGACGGACTTCCAAGTCGGAGGAGCACTAGAAATAGCTTGTGCACATGTGCACAGGCCTCCTCCGATCCGGATGTGCACCAGAAATAACGCTTGCACATGCACAAATAACGCTTGCGCATGCACAAATAACGCTTGCGCATGCACAAATAATGCATGCGTATGCACACAAGCTATTTCCGGTGCTCCTCCGACCCGGGAGTGGGCAGCCACGCAGCGCAGCACCGGTAAGAGCGGTAGTTTGGGGACCACTAATGTAGGATGTCAATCCATTCAACCAAAGGCCTGGTTAAAAAGGAACATTTTTGCCTGGCGCCTAAAGGTGTATAATGAAGGCGCCAGACAAACTTCCCTGGGGATCCACAGATGGGGATCCACTGCAAAGAAGGCCTCTTCTCGTGTTGCCACCCTCCAGACCTCTTGAGGAGGAGGCACACAAAGGAGAGCCTCAGAAGATGATCTCAGAGCCCAGGTAGGTTTATACTGAAAGAGGCGGCCCTTGAGGTATTACGGTCCTGAGCCGTTTAAGGCTTTATTTTACATAAGGAGTGTATACCGACATTCAGTGGAGTGTTTCTTCACTATCACTCATCTGGATGCATCAAACTGGAACTTTCTAATCAAGAGAAATCGTACCATGGGGAGATTCTGGGCTCTTGTTGTCCAGTGCTGAGCTTAGCAAAGAAGGGAAATACAATAATGCTAGAAAAATGCAATATTAATATACGTATCAAGGCTTTGAGATTAGACCACTGAAGAAGCCCGGAAAACTACCTTGGGAGTGTGCTACCTGCAAGCCCCAGTAAAAGGGCCCCATCGGGGGCAAACAGCGGCCTCTTGATTACTCAGACTGCCAGGGCGAAACAGGTGCAAAACGCCGGCACCCTGTCTACAACTTCATTAACATCCATCTACAACTTCACTAGCATCTCTCAGTATTGTGAACTACATCAAACTTACCTTTTGTTGGTATCTTCATGCAATTTCACATGGTGGGAATTCAGGGTAGTATCCTGGCATGCAGCTCCTTACTGCCATGTGAAACTTAGCAGTTGATCCAAAAGCCAAAGTTCCACAATGCAACAGGCGATGCAGTGTAACAGGAATGTTAGAATCCAGGACAGAGGCTCTAGCACTATAACCAGGAAAACCATGAATGCACCCTAAATGAGGTTGCATCCTCTTGCTCTACATCTTGTTTGCATTCCTTTGTATTCCAATTTGCCTTCTTACTCTAGGTTTGAATACCCTATTGTCCAAAAGAAGTCAACAAGAGTCAGGAGAAAAGGAGACTGATTCCCGGCCGCACAGGGGTTTAAATAGGGTAAGTCACACCCCCACCAGTTGACCAGATTGATCGGCCGGGGGGGGTGACGTGGCCAGGACACCCAATGACATGGGCGGCATCGCCACACACCCCACTGTACACTGGGAGTGCTTGTGGCCCACCTGTAACTCACCCCCCTGGGAAGGGGAGTGGTTTTGTCCAAAAGAAGTCAACAAGAGTAAGGGCCCTGAGTGGGAGAAAGGTGCTGACAAAATATGGAAGGCACTGAGAAGTACAGTGGACGCTCGGGTTGCGAACGTGATCTGTGCAGGATGCATGTTCACAACCCACAGTGTTTGCAACCCGCAGCGGCACATCTGCGCAAGCGCAGGTTGCGATTTGGCACTTCTGTGCATGCATGACTGCCAAAACCCGGAAGTAACCCATTATGGTACTTCCGGGTTTCAGTGGTCCATAACCTGAAAAAACACAACCTGTGTCTGTAACCTGAGGTATGATTGTACCATGAAGAGGTATTGTTGTCAGCCATGCCTTCTCAGTACCATCTGTTTGTAAAAGCCCACAACTGGGGGAAGAGCAGGCAGCAGGCAGCGGGGAGGAGAGTGTGATGCAGCAACCTTTTGGCACTGCTGCCTTTTCAACTGCTACTGTTAATTTGCGCGGGTCTTTCAAGTGCAGCAAGTAAATCACATTATACATAGAAATATATGAAGAGGAGTGTTCTATGTATTGTGCTGGGTGCATATTAAAGTCTCTGTTTCCTCTTCCACCCATCCACCCTTCCCCTCCTGGGATTTCTCCCTCCCTCCCTCCAACACACACACACTCGCTTCTTTTTGGGCTGCCTGTTTATCTACAATCTGTCTATTTAAATTCCTTCTAAACAAGATGGGAATATCTTTATGCCTGTTTGTAAGAATATTCTGCCTCCATCTGTTATTTACATCATTCGTTTTCCTGAGGTGTCTCCAACAAATCCTGGCTGGATGCACTGTATGTGTTATTAATAAAACAGCTGTAAAAATATTAACTGTATGGCCTAATTGTCAGCCCTGATTAAGAGCCAAATTTATCCCCGAACGGATGCTAAGGTGCAGAACATGGACTCTTACCCAGTTTTGACCCTTTGCGGCTCATTTTGCAACTTGAAGCGGATTCAGGCGATAATGTTGATACAGGAAGTACAGCTCACTCTCACTTCCTGTGTTGGCGCACATTATGAACATTCGCTCTTACTGTTCTGTGAACAGTAACAACTGGGATGAGGAGCCTGTGGACCTTGAGATGTTGCCGTACTATGACTCACATCACCCCTGACTATTGCCCATGCTGAGTTCATAGAATAGTAGAGTTGGAAGGAACCACCTGAAATGCAGGAATCTTTTGCCCAACATAGGGCTTGAACCCACAACCCTAAGATTACAAGACTCATGCTGTACTAACTGAGCTACCCACAGGGCCAGGTTCCCCATTCCTAACTCATGGCATAGATCGAGCATTTGCCTTCCCCACTTTTTTGGTATGAATGGAGATATACTTATTTTAATGGAGTTGCCCAGGAGACTTCTTAGCCTACAAGGCTCAGGTCCTTATGTGGCAGCTGGCCAGCAGAGATTCTTGTCCTGTTTCTGCAATTCAACACCACATGCAAACCCTTGAGCCCAACTCCCAGATGGATTGGTTTCCTGGTAAGAATGATGGTAGTTTTATTGATATATGCTCCCACCACCAAATCCCTCTGCCTGGATTGTTGATGCTGCAAATACTCAGGTGAACAAAGCTGGGTACTGTCCTGTAATCTCCTCTTTTGTGTGTATGTGATGCATAAATAGGGATTGGCAAATAGTTTCTCATTTTCCCAGTCTAAAGTTCAGTTCATCACATCAGTTTCTGATTCATTTTTATTTTAAAAAAGAGGTCCTTGTGGAAATTCATCAGCATTTTAGTATGACGTACCCCCCAACATTTCTCTCATGAAAATAGGGACATCCCATTCAATTATTATTATTATTATTATTATTATTATTATTATTAGTACTCTGCCCATCTGACTAGGTTGCACCAGCCACTCTAGGTGGCTTCCAACATATATAACAACAACAAATTTTTATTTGTAACCCACCCTCCCCGGCCAAAGCTGGGCTCAGAGCGGCTAACAACAAGTAAAAATAGCACAGTGTACATAAAATCACACAGTCAATTAATTAAAATACATTCTAAAATCAATTCACAATCAAATTAATGGCAACCATTGGGTTAGAGTTCTATGAGGATTACAGAAGGAGAGAGAGGGTCAGACTGTGCCTTAGCCAGAGACCAGGCGGAACAGCTCCATCTTGCAGGCCCTGCGGAAAAATGTCAAGTCCCTCAGGGCCCTAGTCTCTTGTGACAGAGCATTCCACCCAATCGGGGCCACTGCCAAAAAAGCCCTGGCTCTGGTTGAAGCCAGCCTAACCTCCCTGTGGCCCGGGATCTCCAATATGTTTTTATTTGAAGGCCGTAAAGTCATCCGTGGGACATACCAGGAGAGGGGGTCCCATAGGTACGAGGGTCCTAGGCCGTATAGGGTTTTTGAAGGTTAAAACCAGCGCCTTAAAACTGATCCTGTACTCCACTGGGAGCCAGTGCAGCTGGTATAGCACCGGGTGAATGTGATCCCGCTACGAGGACCCCGTAAGACATTAAACAGTTTTAAAATTTTCTCCTTACAGGGCTGTCTTCAAAAGTCTTCTAAAGGTTGTATAGTAACCTATCTCCTTGGCTTGGGGGTCGCATAACTCCATACCCTCCAACATTTATTGGATGAAAATAGGAAAAGCTGGACATTCCAGGATCAAATCAGAAACCAAGAAAGCTTCTGTAAATCTGGGACTGTCCCTGGAAAATAGGGACACTTGGAGGGTCTGATATGACTTTCTCTACTGTATGTTTGAATGAATTTTTCCTTAATATACGCAGTTTTGCAAAGCTAAAATGTTTTTACCAACATATGTGCTTTTGTGGATGCTTTACCCCAGCATATGCATTTTGGTACACCCGAGCTGCATTCCAAAAATCAGAGAACTACGAATCACTATGGATGGTTGCATTTAAGTCCCCGTATTGTTTTGGATTAGGCAAGTTCGCCTTTAAACGTGAACAGAATTGAATTTCTCGCCGTCCCTTTTCATAAGTAGTGACCCCCAAACACTACACAAGCCTCCCAGGCACAAATGAGTGTGCTGCGAGAGTTTGACTAAATTCATCACAGAGCCTTTGTTCACAGAAAGAGTTGAATGAATGGGCAGAGAAGTGGCCTTTTTCGGGTGTTGCCTGCTGGAAGGCTGCCTGCGAAAACAGTTCCTGTGTGCTGGTCAGTGAGCAAATGCGTTAGAGGGAAGGCTTGTTGTCCCCGACGTATAGCAGCCCCCACCCTGTGAATATAAATAGCGGTTTCAGTCTGCAGGCCCAACCGGCGAGACCTAATCTCACATTTCCTGTACGAAGAGGAAAGAAAACAAAATTAGCACTGCCTCTCAATTTTGCATGCCCTGCGTGGTCCTCTTGATGAGGTGAGGCCCAGTTCTTGAATAGCCGAGTTGTTTTAGGGAATGCCACTCAGAACAGAGGTTGATTTATTAGAGCAGTATATATCGGAGTTTGTAAGGCACCTGCTAACATTTTGCCTACTTTCACTCACAGCTGTTTCAGCCGCTACTTAGTGTAAGATCAGGTTCCTAAATCTATATGCAATTAACCTGGAATGGAACCATTAATCCCTGACTAATGTGAGCAATATGTGAATCACAGACACGCAGGGCTGGTAGGGAACAGGAGTCCATTAAATGCAAACCCACTGCCCCAAGACAGCATTTTCCACACATCACAGCACCCTACTCCATCTTTCTTTCCCCGCAAACTGCCCACACTATCTATAAACCACAATGACCTCAAATGGAGAGCAAGATATTGTACATGGAAGGAGGGTTTGCTTTGGTTACTGCCCCACACAACTAGGGAAGGAAGGAAGCTGTGTGGCACCCCAGTGCAAGATGACAGCATGCCCCATAACTCCTCTGTGGCTCTTCCTAATGGGTCCTAGCCAGGCTATCTCCAGAATCAGAGACACCAGTATGCTTCTGGAAACCAGCCATTGGGAAACAGCAGCAGGAAAGGGCTATTGCTTTTGTGCCCTCTCTGTTGGCTTCCTGGGGACATCTGATTGGCCACTGTGGGCAACAGGATATTGGACTGGGTAGACCTTTGCTCTAACTTCCTAGGGCTCTTCTTATGCTCTTGTGAGACCATACAGATTATGGAGCTGCCTGCCTAATTTGAACAGGGGGGAAGCCATAATGGAAATTTTCAAAGAATGTGAGTCAGTGGAGTATTGCAGCCTGGGCAAACACACCTCATGTGGGTTTATTGGAGGCCAGCTCTGAGCTGGAACCATAGTATAAACACATAATGAGACATCAGGAGATGTACACACAACATGTGAAACAGCACATAGATATGAGCATGAGATTTCAAGCTCCATAGGCCAGGGACCTGTTTGTTTGTGTGTGTGTATATACACACACACACACACACACCGTATTTTTCGCTCCATAAGATGCACCAGACCATAAGACGCACCCAATTTTTGGAGGAGGACAACAAGAAAAAAAATATTCTGAATCTCAGAAGCCAGAACAGCAAGAGGGATCGCTGTGCAGCAAAAGCAGCAATCCCTCTTGCTGTTCTGGCTTCTGGGATAGCAGCGCAGCCTGCATTCGCTCCATAAGACGCACACACATTTCCCCTTACTTTTCAGGAGGGAAAAAGTGAGTCTTATAGAGCAAAAAATATGGTGTGTGTGTATATATATATATATATATATATATATATATATATAGGTATATGTGTGTGTGTGTGTGTGTGTGTGTGTGTGGATTTTGCTTTAAAGCAACATATCTATTTATGGCACCATAAAAATAATAAAGAGAGGTGCCATCACTCTTGCTCTACAAAAATCAGAAGAATAAGATTTCAGAAAAGAGGAACCAGCAAGGAACTGTAGCTAAGGATGGGTGAATCTGTCAATTTTGGTTTCTCTCAGTTTAGCAATTTTCCAACCTTAAGTTCAGTTCTCCACATTTCCATATCAGATTGCATTCTTTTAAAGAGTCCTCATGAAAATGTATAAGCAAATTTCCCCTAAGATTGCATGTTTATATGCCATTTTGCCTAGCGTGCACATTTTTTGCAAAGACGCGTTTCCTCATATAATGTCTTTTTAATACCATTTTCACTAGTACATTCATGTTTGTACACCATTCATACTGGTACATGTATTTTTGTATGCATCAGGACCATGGGTTCAAGCCCCATGTTGGCCAAAAAGACTCCTGCATTGCAAAGGCTTGGACCAGATGACCATCATGGTCCCTTCCAACTCTTCAATCCTAGGATTACTTGGCCAAAGAACTGCATTGCAATATTCAGATACTAGCAATTTTTTTTGGATGACTGCGTTTTCACTCTCATGTTGTTTTAGAAGGTGCAAATGAGGCAGGGTCACCCTTAAATGCAAACTGATTTAAATCCCCTCAGCCCTGTCTGTAGCAAACTCCTACACCCTCTGCAAGAACCTTGAAAATACCAGGAGGAAAGAACTGAGTACACAAAACAGTTGTTGCAATCTATTAGTTATCATAATTTCTCAGTGATAGGTTGGTTTTTAAATGAATGAACAAACAAAAGAACAAGGCTGACGCTTGCTTCAGAGCCTTCCTTCATTTCCAGGGGGCTTCTATTAGGATTGCTAAATATCACCAAAAACAGACGGGGAGATTTAATAGATTGCACACATATTTGAGGCTGCTTCGGACTTTGTTCTTGCCGCATGGTGTTTGTAACTGAACTCTCCCCCCGCTGTCCCTAAGGCTGTCTTGGAATCTCTCTCTCTCTCTCTGCCTGTTCCTCCCATCCTTTTGAAAGACTTGAAAGGGCCTGTAGCCTCTTATAAATCAATGTCTCTCTCCAAGATCTTATTTACTGGCTTCTTCTGCCTCTGCAGTCAGTGAAACCTATAATTGTTTCTTGGACAATTCTAAAAATACAGTGCATTATTAGAGAGCAAAACAACTCCTGCCTTAAAGAGAGCACTGTACATTCGAGAGAAGAATGATGCAGTTACTGTACCGCAAATGCTAAAATGTTTCCTGTTTCTATCAGCAAGCTCAAAATGTAGGACTGTTGACCTCTTTATCAAGTTCAGCCATTAGCTTCGGGATTGTTTGAGAATTGTCTTAATGGATCGGCCAAAATATAATACTCTGTCTCCGAAGATGGCCAAACTGTTATCTGTGGGAATTCCAGATGCTCCTGTTGTCTTCCCCAACATCTGTAAACAGAAGATCAGCCTCTGAAGGTGCAGACTTCCTTTGGATATCATGGCTCACGATAATGAGTTTTTAAACTTCTAAAAAAAACCCTA